CCCGCGAACTGGGCTATTTTTTTTCTCCCTCTTCTTTTTCTTATTCTTCTTGCAGGTTTTGAGGGGGGGACGAACTGGGGTTTTTTTTTTTCCTCCCTCTTCTTCTTCTTCTTCTTCTTCTTGTTGGAGGTTTTTGGGTTCTAGGTTAGGGATAAAGATGTGGGTCACTTGGGGGGAGGTCGCTGGGGGGTGGGTGAAGGATAGTGGGAAGGGATTGCAGAGAGGAGAGGGGGAAGAAAGGGGATCTGGGTTAGGGTTTTTATGTTTTTTTTTTTTAATTGGGTTAATATTATAATATTTTTAATGTATAAAAAATATTTTTTTTTCCATGTGGCAGCCACATCAGCACAAATGTGGCTGCCACGTCAGCATTTAACAGACTAATGGATGGAAAATCTAACGGATGTGTTATTTTGAAATAAAATGGTACTGGATGTATGAAAGTGAAATGTTTTAAAGTTGTTGTATGGGGTTGTAATAGACCTCAAACCTGAGGGGCTACTATGTAATTTACCCATAAAATATTCATGACAAAAAATTGCTAAACTTTAAACCAGAGTTTATGCATATCTTGTTGATAGTCCGTTCATCTCATATGCATTTGAATTGGATTCTTTAAAAGCTATTAAACAATTAAAATAATAATTACATTGACAAATGCAAATTGTGAATCAAATAGTAAATAAAAACAAGCTAAATAAGTGCTAACCTTTTCTCTTGTATGGACCTTTCTTTTTTAGGTTGATTAGATTCCAAAGCACTCTTCATTCTACCTTTTGCCCCGACCTTTGGACTTCTGAACTATTAGATCTTGGATCTTAAGATTTTTCTCAGCTTCAGTCACATGCTTAACATAATTTACATCATTTGTTCCATCATCTTGTTCTCCAAAATTGGCATGTTTTTCCATTTTTTTCTCCAACTTTAACAACTCAGATTTCAAAAAACTACATTTTTTGCTATTTTTTGCACCTTTTGCTATAATTGTTTGTGCTATATTAGATAGCTCGCTATGATGAACCAAGGAAGATGAGTCTAAATTATTCACAGCCGGTTCACCATAAGAATCAAATCCAATACCACATTTAGCATCCTTACTCCATCTTTTCAAATAATAATCGGATGATATACTTGACAAGTCTAAATCATAGTATAACTTTAGAGCATGTGCACAAAGAATCCCCTCAAACTTAAACTTTTTGCAATTGCACAAAACTGTTTGATTTGCAAGGTCATACATAAGTGTTCTATTAATTCCTTGTTTTTTTTAGTTCATTACTGTGTATGTACGTGTTAGCCCATCATCACTTTCTAATTTTAGTGGCCTCAAATTTAAAACTTTCTTAACCTCCTCTTGGAAACAATAAAAAATCTTACTTGTATATTGCTTTGTTGCTTCAATCTCCACATTCCAATAAGAATACAAACTACACCATTTTTGTTTAGTTGCATCTTCTACTTGCCTTTCCTTTTCTTTTCGATCCATTACTGCTTTATCATATTGCATGACGAACTCTTGCAGAAGGAGATTTCGAGCAAAATACTAAACTTGTTCATGCTTTCAATTCTTTGTGTTGTTGTCATACCTAAGAAAAAAATGGAAGCTGATCACAGTATAGTGGAAAAAGAAACTTGTGAATAATATGTAAAAATAATATAATAGGAATTGGTCAAGAGTAATACCTGCACAAAAGTGGTCTCGACCATAAACTTGTGCCCATTTATCACGTAATAGATATATCCCTTCTAGCCAATCATTTTCTCTCAATTCATAATCATCAAGTAACTTATTCCAACTTGATTCAAATTCTTCAACAGTCTCCGGATCATATATGCATCTTTTGAAATCCTGCGTAAATGATTTAAACTCACTAAAAACATGATTCAAGTTCCTCGCAGCATTCTAATATATGTGCCACAAACAAAGTCCGTGGTGACAATTAGGAAATACTTCACTAATCCCAGCATCAATTGATTAGGCTTGATATGTAAATATGGTTCTTGGTGCTTTTCCATCCATGGCTTGTAAAAAGGCCTTGAACAGCCACTCACATGCATCTGATGTCTCTCCATCTAGCAAACCACATCTGAAAAGTATGGTTTGACCATGATTATTGATACCAACTACTGGGCCACACACCATATTATATCTATTGGTTTTGAATGTCGTATCAAAACACACAACATCACCAAATATAGCATAATTGCACCTCGAATTTCCATCACAGAAAAAACAACCACTTATTTCATTCTCCTCGGTTGTTCGAAGATAATAGAAAAATGATTTGTCTTCAGTTTGCCTTTTCTTAAAATATTCAAGCAAACATTCTGAGTTGCCCTTTTTAAGAATCCCGATGCGCTTTCTCATTATCAAATTGGTACAATTAGACTGAATAAAATTTAGTTTTTGAGACCCTCCTACTTTTGTGGTAAAGTATGAGAAGATTTGAGATGGATGTAGTCCTGCGAAATGCATTTGATCTATCAATTTTGCTTAAGAAGGCTCTATTAATCGTTGTGACCTCAATAAATGAGAACTTGATGCCGGAACAAGAACATGACAATGTTCAGCAACAAAATTTGTCACAACAAACTTCCTTTCTAAATTAAGTTTGATTTCAAGTATTGCCTTGCAGCCACATCTTGTTTCTTCTCTTTTCTTCTTGGAGTTTTATTTTATTTTATTTTATTTTTATTTTTATTTTTATTTTTATTTTTTTTAAAACCTTCACAAGAACAACAAAATTGTTTTTTCTTTAGCACACTTTACCTGTCCTTATTCTCTATGTTCTTTCTCACGCTAAATCCAACCCTTTTACCATATGCATTGTAGTAATTATATGCATCATCCTCATTATCAAAAGTCATCCCCAGAGAAATATCACCAACTTTGCTTGTAAATTCTCCTTTTTCTTCATTTTGATCCAAGACTTCAAAGGTTTAGGAATCTGAATCTAAGTGTATACAATCAACGGATTCTTTGGCATCACTGGAAGATGGAGTATGAAACTCATCATCTTGATGTTCCATCTATATAAGTATCAAATTACTTAATATTGAATTGAATTAAATTAACACCCTATAATAATCCTAAAAAGCACATATATTGACACCATATAATGATCATAAAAAGCATATATTTTGACACCCTATAATAATCCTAAGAAAAGCATATATATTGACATCCTATAATCCATGATGGAACATAATTTAAAGTATTTATGATGCAGATGAAGATGTAGACTCTGGACAGTACTATCCCGTCAGGTTACCCCACCACCGCCTCATCCTTAACACAAAATGGGTGTTTGATGCCCATCCTTACCTATAATAATCCTAAAAAGCAAATAAATGGGAATTGCATACCTTTTTGTAGTCAGAGAAAAATAGCAGATGGAAAGCCTAGAAGATGCGTAGCAGATGGAAAACCCAGAAGATGCATGCACAAGGTTGAGTCTGTTTGTATTCAAAAAGGGGAGAAAACCTAGAAGATGCGTAGCAGATGGAAAACCCAGAAGATGAATGCACAAGGTTGAGTCTGTTTGTATTAAAAAAGGGGAGTTTTTAAGTTTTAATAAAAAAAATTAAAAAGAAAAGATATATATGGAAGTAAATGAGTAAAAGTAGATTCTCTTTGCTATTAATTAAAGCAAAAAAAAAAAAAAGAAAGAAAAATAAGGCTTAACTAGAGTTAATGTGGATTACAGATGACAAATATTGAAAGGGGTGGTGAGCATACCCTATAGTTAATGTGGGTGATCAAAAATGCACCCAACCTTAAAGGCTTATGTTTGCGAAATTTGTTTACGTTGTCCAATACTAACTTATTACATATTTGACTTTTTGTATAATCAATATACCTAGCCAACGATCTCAAGCCAAAATTAAACTCGGTACAATCTAGCATAATTGCTTATAATTATAAGTATGTTTTACAAAAGTATTTTGAAACGGTTGGACTTAATCCAATATAAATCAACTTTTAAATGGTCAACAATGTAATAGGAATGAAATAATAGATATTAATGCTAAAATTGTGGTTGATCCCTTTTATATTAGCCTTGTGAATGTATGCCTTGGAACCCAAATGAGGCCGCTTAAATCCTTGATGAACATGTAATTATAATACCTAGGCTAAGAAAGTGAGATTTGGGTCCCCTTTACGGACAGAACCCTTGACTCTTAGCCAGTATAAATATTGAAGTCCCTGCAATCCTTAAAACACGCAACAAACATTTTCCATTGAGTAGTTGTATAAAATCAGATGCTTGTAGAAAACTTCGACATCGTTGTGGGGTTTTTTCCTCCTTCAAACTCAGTCAATGGCTGCCGCTCGAAGTGCTTTAGGTTAGCCATCGTTTTCTTTTATTTGTGTTTTAGTTATGTAATCATGTAAGGCCAACACAAATAACATTTAAGTCCTCGTAATTAACCAAATGACATGTCTTACAAAATTTTGTCACACGGCATGCTCCTGCTGAATACTTGGAGTCAACATATTATAGTAATGGTGTCTTTGAAATTCGATTGTTTGTTTTTAGGTCACAAATGTCAAGAACGGCAACAAAAATACGCTGAAAATGAGCATCAAAGTCATGTCCTTTTTTACTAAGAATTGTAGAAATTTTTCCGCATCAGAATTGTGTTACTAATTTTCGCATTATACTATGAATAGATAATATGATTAACAATAAATTGAAAGTATAATATTGATAAAAATATGTGCTACAAAATTAATAATATAATATCATATGATCGTGTATAATTACTCTGAAAAACTCCTAAACTGGAGAATTAAGCTTAAGTAATTGGAGAATTCTTACAATCAAAGTATTCAACCGTTGATTCAAGACTCTTGGCCTCACTTCTAGAAAATTTCCATGTTTTGACTGGAAAAAATGCCACATGCACCATTTTTGACTATTTCAATTAAACCCTAAATTAAAAAAACTATTTAGCTTCTTTCTTTACCTACTTATAATGAGAATGCGACACAAACAATTCCAAAGTACCATTCTTTGTTTTTTTTTTGGTGAACAAGTACCATTCTTTGTTTCACATATAACAGCACAACTTTCATAGCTGCCAAACAGAAAGTTAACTTATTTTTCTCCATATAACAATACAGCTTTCTCAGCTGCCAACAGGAAGTTAACTTATTTTTCTCTCAGCTTTTGATCCAAGAAAATGGCAGAGGCATTGACAGAAGGTCAGATTGCTGAGTTCCAGGAAGCCTTCTGCCTCATCGACAAGGATTCAGATGGTAAGTTCTTATCAGGTCACGTATAATCATTACTTTACATATGTTTCCGTTAACTGATTCTTCTCGACCGGGGACGGGAGTTCCTTTAATCGCATACATCGATTCCTCTCGCGTTTATCTATCACGTGCCTTCGTGCTGCTCACGTCGATGAGTCGGTAGGGTTTTTGATCGAGTCTTTATTTGCAGGACTTATTAGCTTGGAAGAACTAGCTACAGTGATCCAGTCACTGGATCAACGTCCCTCAAAAGAAGAAATCCGGGACATGATTAATGAGATTGGTGGTGATGGAAATGGGACCATAGATTTTGAAGAGTTCTTGAATATTATGTCAAGAAAGATGAAGGTATATAAGCTCTATAATATCAAATTTACTAAACATATTTGTGTTAATTAAGCTTTTGAAACCAGTTTAGTTGATGAAGATTGTAATTAATCTTGTAGGAAAATGCTGCTGAGGAGCTCAAAGAAGCCTTCAAAGTATTTGACAGAGACCAAGATGGCTACATTTCAGCCTTTGAGGTAAAAATAAAATTATAGTTGACTGTTAGTTATGTCCCGACTTTTAAAATCTCAACTAATGTGTCAAAATTGCATTTGTTCATGTTCGGATTCACTTTAAACTTCATTTGTTTATAATTAGTGAGCATGTGTCACATCAGTTGGTATTACAAATTTGAGAAATAACGTACTGTGCAAGAAACACCACTCATATATTTACATACTTTTTTTCTTATGTGATAGTTGAGACAAGTGATGATAAATTTGGGAGAAAGATTGAGTGATGAAGAGGTTGAACAAATGATCAGAGAAGCTGATTTGGATGGTGATGGTCTAGTTAGCTATGAAGAATTTGCAAGGATGATGCTGCTCTGTTGATCTTTTCCTTCTTTCTTAATCATGTTATTAGAAATAGAAAAATGGATTAAAACTAAATCATGTGTTTAATCTTTAATCCCATTGATTAGGAAGCAATGCACATTGTGCAATTATGGTTGTAACCAATGAGAGGTGCCATTTTACTTTTATTGTTCACAACATAATTTGCTTATAATTTTTTAAAATTACAGTTGCATTATTTGGTGTGCTTCTATCTGCACTGAACTTTGAATTTTTCTTAATTTAGATTAGCTCACACCATGGACAATGGGCTCGTTTGTAAGCTTGAATTGAAAGCACTTTTAAAATGATTAAAAATATTTTTAGTAAAAAAAGCACTTGAAGTACTGTTCATGTTTTTAAAATGGTTAAAAACAGTTCAAGTGTTTTTTTAAGATTCACTTGTCTTTTTTACAAAAGATTGATTTTAAAAATATTTTTACTAAAATCGTTTTTAGTTATTTTAAAAGATCTTTCAATCGATTTAATATATTTTTTTCACTTTTTCACGTGCGGCCTCTACAAAAAAATTCACACGTGTCGGAATACAACAGTTTTGCGCCAAATCGCTGACCCCTGCACGCGCCTTCTTTTCTTCTTCCCTCTCCCAACCTAAAAATGGCGGCTTCCGAATCGAACCATGTCGACGAGCTCAGCCGCTGCAAGAACCATAATATTCGATCGCCCGGACCATTACTCCGTGGGCCTGTTCGGGCAGGGCCACCCGACGATCCGTCATCCGGTCCGTACGTCCTGGTGTTTCGCGACCCAAAAGCTTGGGCGAACGCGTACAGAGCCTGCGAGTCCAAGATCGTCGAGCAGTGCGAGGCCGGTGCCAGGATCGCGTGCGCCGTTAGCGCATCGGAAAAGTGTAAGCCCCCGTGGTGGCGAGCTATGATTGGCCAGAAAGTCACAGACTTGAAGCAGAGGGAACAGTGCGAGGAGAGAGAAATGGAGGGGTGTTTGACGGCGGCGAAAGAGAAGTGCGGCGGGTTCGCGAAGGAAAAGTTCTTGAAACCCTTCAGAGAAGCGAGGATTGCAGGGGTGAATGTGAAGCAGGTTGAGAGATTGGTCTGCTGGGGGACTCTGGCGGATCCGAGTACGTGGCTCAACTTGATTGGATTGGAAAAATTGGGGGTTTTGGGTTCAGCGAATTATAGGGCTGGTGAATTGTTTGGTTCGGATAGTGAGGTTGATCGTGTTTTGGCGGTGGGAATTTGACATTGAAGGTGTGAGATTTGGAAAATGGAGGTGAAAGTTGGTGCATTTGTGACGAAATAGCGGACGAAACTGTTGCTGATGAAGTGGGATTGTGCAAAAGGTATGTTTGGTTGAACTCTGCTTCTTTGATTTAACTTGGAAAGAGTAGAAAAGATTCAATGCATTTTTTAATTTAGTGTTCGAAACTTGTGAGTATAATTTTTGTCCATTGATCTTCTTCAATTCAACCAATCCGGTGGTACGGTAGGCAATTGAAAGGTAAAAATGGGTGCGTGGATAGCTCCACTCTTCTGATTATTCATTCTGTTAAGAAAAATCCGGTGGTAAAGTTCGCCCCGTACTGCAGTTTTCGCTGTGCACGATATATTTAAACAGATCCATGAAAATGAAATTGAAACATATACATCTTGAACTGTATTCATTTTGTCTAGAGTGTGCAATTCTGCTATATATCTGACATAGGTTTGCTGCAAATGCTAAAACCGCAGCGAATGCATCTATCGTCATTACTTGCATCAATAGAGATACCAATTAGCAATGATTCACTATGACTTGTGGATGTGTAACTGAACAAGTTAATGGATGGCCTTGTGGGATTTAAATCCATCTTTCCCTTCTTTTGACTGCATCTTTACTTTGAATGGTGGAGCTTGAGTGCAAAATGTTCTTAGGGTGGTACTTCTGTTACAGGATGGCACGCGGGGCTCGGTGGGCTGAAAGAGCCCATTCTAAATCCTCATTTGAAGTACTAACTTTGACCCAGGTTGAGCATCAATACAGAACAAAAACTATAGGCCCAAACATTCAACAGTTTAGGGCATCTTGTGCCTCATAACTGCATGTTCTAGGGGATATATGATTTTGGACTGTCCTTGTGAAGTCATCCACCATAGACTTTCTGCTTGTGTGTGTTTTGTCTTTAACATTGCACATAGCTATCTGAAAAGAATCATTTTCTTTTGTAAATTAGTTTATTTGTATAGACTTTTTTGGTTGATGAACGCTTTACCTTTGATATAGGCAAATAGTTTCTTGAAAGCATCATCTTCGTTATAAAATAAATTAGCTACGTAGACGTTCGGCATAAGTAGGATTTTAAATTTTAATTTATGCAGGATAATTATCTTCAAACAATTATTTTGTTTTTAAAATTAACTTTGCTATGTTTTACTTTTAGAAACTTATTTGGTTTTGGTGATGTTTGGCATTAAAAATTTATGAAGAACTTCTATGATCTTACATGCTTCAACAAAATGTACAAATACTTTGTGTTTGTACCATACTTGACCAATCCCGAAACTACCGAGCACCGGCCAACGCTATACTGTCAAGGACCCAGAAGAGTTCCCCTCCGACCAGGAGGCCAATCACTACTCGACACGTGTCAAGATTAGAAGCCAATCAGAGCGCAGCACGTGTCGACATCAAGAACCAATCACAACATGACACATGTCAATGTGACAAAGCTACAAGTTTTTCTATAAATAGGGGTCATTCCCCCACAATATGGCCTAATGCCATTTGGGTTAAATCATTCACAAGAACTCACTAAATTGAGAGCTTGATCCTTTGTACTTGTGTAAGCCATTCACTACTAATAAGAACTCCTCTACTCCGTGGACGTAGCCAATCTGGGTGAACCACGTACATCCTGTGTTTGCTTCTCTGTCTCTATTCATTTACGTACTTATCCTCACTAGTGACCGAAGCAACCAAGCGAAGGTCACAAAACTTGACACTTTCTGTTGTACCAAAGTCTTCGCTGATTTTGTGCATCAACATTTGGCGCCGTCTGTGGGAAACGACACTTATTCCTACTCTCTTCAGCTGTGTCAAGCTGGTTTCTATCATTCGTACACTTTCTTTTGATCAGGCATCCCTCTCCAACATGGGAAGCGAAGGAAGCCACAACACACAGAATGACACCCCCCTTGCACATAGTGCGAAAACAACGAAAGAAGGAAGGAAAACGAGTTCTTCTTCAAGCTAAAGTCGATGAGTTGGAAGCTCAGAACAACAAGATAGCAATGAGGAATGAGGTCCTCCAGGAGCAATATGAGAAGCTCTTCGAGACACTCCACGAAGCTAGGCAAGCTCAGACACGCGAGCTTGTTGCCCCCGTGGAAGTCAACCATCAACTGGGTGCCCTCCAACATGGAGGGTCACATGCATTCGACATAGATATCCCTGATAGGGAACAGATTACCCCTCGACTTGATAATCAACATGAGGCTTCTCTTAACCCAGTTGCTTCGACCCGAACCATGAGAAGTGGAGGGAGACACCTCTTTGCTGAAGGGGCAGAAGGATCGAAAGCCGTCTTTCGCGATTGTCGGGATTTCCTGAAGCAACGTCGAGAGAATTCCATCCATATAAGCTCAAAGATTAATGACCCAAGGATTTCTGAGAGACTCTCGGTCCCCTGCCACGGCCCAAGCCGGCCACCAATTTGAGGAAGGGGCAACAAGTCCCAGAGAGACATGAGGGTACAGGGGACTCAGAGGTGTTCCGACAGACATACCCTGGAAGCCAGTACAGCGAGTCCAGGGAAAAATCACATGCCCTTGATCAAACCTTCCTAATTCCAAGAGGAGATGGAGATTTACGAAAGAAAGCTCCAGTGACACATAACTCCGCTCAGGACCCCCTTGTCCTACAACTTCTTGAGGAAGTAAACAAGTTGAAGGCTGAACGTCAGGCTGAAATACCTGACTGGAACCAACCCAGGCCTGGCCCTCTTACAAGGAGGATCCTCAACACCCCCCTTCAAGCAAAGACAAAGCAAAAGCTTGGCTTGCAACTTTATACTGGAAAAAGAGGACCCGATTGAGCACCTTAACCTCTTTGAATCCACCATGGCATACCGGATGCACACCGACGAAGAGCGATGTCTTCTCTTCCCCTCCACCCTCTCTAGTGGAGCTCTAAATTGGTATTGTCGTCTTACACCTGAGACGGTAGACTCATTTGAGGAATTGAGGAAACTATTTGTTTCCCAACACATTTTCCAAACCGATCGCTTGCACTCTGCAGATGACTTGTACACTATCCGCCAGAAGCCAGACGAGTCATTACGTATGTATGCTGGCCGCTTTAGCCATGAATACTCCCGGTGTGCCGAGGCAGACGACAAGACTGCCCTCAAAGCCTTCACGGCAGGCTTACGTGATTGTTTCTTTAAATACATGATCAATGCCAATACTTGGAAGACTTACTCTGAGGTGATGGCGCAGGCTTATAACCATGCCTCCGCCGAGGCAAAGACATATCAGGAGAAACCCCCTACAACCATCCTTTATCAACAAGTGGGAGGTGGAAGCCAGACTCACCTAAATGAGAAGACCTCGACTTTCCAAACAGCAGTGGCACCTCCCCATGCCTTGCATAATGCTTCACCGAATCAACAGACATATCAATTTCAAGGCAAGAGGAAGGATTTCCATCCTCACCACTCTCCTTTCAATAAAAAGAGTAAGGGACACTATCCCGATAACCAAGGGTATCGCCACAATAACGCTCGCCCCCAGGCAGTCAATGCAGTGGGTCAAACCCGCGTCAAGATACCCCCTACCCCAAGGTATGAGACATACACGCCCTTGAATGCCACATGCGCGGCCATTTACCCCAGCATCGCTCACCTGATACCAAAGCCAAAGTCGAGGCACCCAGATTACACGCCCCCGAATAACGCGGGCATGTTTTGTTGCTACCATGAGCATAACGGCCATGATTGCGAGAAATGTATCATCCTCCGTGATCGTATTGAAGCTTTGGCACGAGAAGGAAAAATTGATCAATTCCTTCTTCACCCTCAAAGGGATAACCGTAACCAACGCCAGGTGAATGTCATATATTCCATAAGTGGCGGCACACCCATATCTGAATCTTCCAATAGGGCCATGAAAAACAGTGAACGAAGTCTGAGGCCTGGTCACCAAGTGTTTCACGTGGAAGACATCAGGGGAGGGAAGTATCAAAAGCCTAACTGGGATCCGATATGTTTCTACCCTGAGGAAGAAAGAGGCATCATCTACCCTCATAACGACCCATTGATCGTGGAGGCTCACATAGCCAACTTTGATGTTCGACGAATCCTCGTAGACACAGGGGCTTCGGTCAATATCATGTTTGCCGAAGCTTTCAGGGCACTCAGTGTAGCTGAACACTTGCTCGATCGCTCGATTTCTCTTCTGATAAGCTTCTCCGGTGATATCGTGCAACCCTTAGGGAGCATACATTTACCCTTTACTATTGGTACAGGCCCTTACACGGCTACCATTACCACTAACTTCCTAGTGGTTGACTGCCCAACGGCATACAATGTTATCTTTGGTCGCACAGGCATCAATGATCTCAAGGCTATGGTATCCACGCATATGCTGTTGATGAAATTTCCAACCCCCCATGGCAACGGCTACATCAGAGGAGATCAGCTTAGTACACGATCATGTTACAACACTTCAGTTAAGCAACAACACTTGCCCGGACCCAAGGAAACCCTGTCTGTACATGACCAAGTCACAAGGACCAGCCTAGATGAAGCGACCTTGGATCTTCCTGATAGCAACAATCAACCCGATGATCCTCGAGATGACTCTTTCACCCAGCAAGCCCAACCTGCTGAAAAGTTGGAGAAGGTATCTGAACAATAGAAAATGGAGTTTCGAAGCTCACAACAAATCTGACGGGTTGACCGAAAAATAATAACCAGTCATTCATCATACCTGGATTTCTGGAGTTATACTGCTCCGAGGGATCTCAAATTTGGATATGTTGTAGTTCACAAGCTGAGGAACAACTTCAATGAAGAAAGCATGCTGATCTGAGCAAGAGAAAATAGAGTTTCAAAGCTCATAACAACTCTGACGGGTTGACAGACAAATGATAAACAGTCACTCATCATACCTGGATTTCTGGAGTTATACTGCTCCGAGGGACCTCAAATTTGGATATGTTGTAGTTCACAAGTTAAGGAACAACTTCGATGAAGAAAGTATGTTGATCTGAACAAGAGAAAATGGAGTTTCGAAGCTTACAACAAGTCTGACGGATTAACAGAACATTGATGAACAGTTACTCATCATACTTGACTTCCTGAAG